TGCTCTCAGGATTTGTATGGGTAATGCTATGCTTGTTTCCAAGCCAGTCTAGTGAACTAATTTTGATTCTCCAGCTTGGATGCAGTTATTCCGATGCAAAAGGTGCTCACGCTATTGTAGCTTCTTTCCATGCATTTGAGCAGCTTCCACAGGTGCAACTGTCACTTTCTAGAGGGGCGGCTGAAATGTTTTACCCACCCAAGCAACAAAACGGCAGTAATACAGAATTGTGTGTAGATTAATTTGAAAAGACGCCACAGCAACAGAACTGCTGAAAAAGCCACCTGCACCATCTCTCTTTGGTCACTGGTAACAGACAGCAGGTAGCCAAAACTGGGGACCAAGGAAGAGGACGGAGAGACATCAAGCTGGCCTGTAATTGCTTTTCAAATAAAGAGCTTCCATTGGACTGATAGAGGTTGGATTTTAACCAGCAGTATAAGCACAAAATTACTTCCCATTATCTACTTTTCAGACTGATTGATTTCAAATAGTTTTGAAAAAAAATTATCTAAGCTTTGCTTTTTTTAAAATGCGCTCCTGCTGTGAGTACAGACCTCTTCTGAAAATACTGACCTTAATAACTCAGTGTCCCAAAACCCTCTCTGTAAAATAGAGACAGTATTTCTCTTCTCTCACCCTTCTTTGAGCTTGCTTAGGACTCTCCCCAAACACATCTGTATATACTGTTGTCATCATGGGATAAAAACTTCCCTGTGGTCCAATCACTGCAGATAAGAACTAACATCAACTTTGAATATAAACGGAGAAGAGAGATATCATATGAAATAAAACTGCATCTCCTAAGTGGCCACTTGGATTTGTTTTAGTGGGCATCGCAGAGCCGGGGCGTGCCCCATGATTTGTCAGTGTCGGCTGTCTCCCATCCCCGAGACACCACCACCACGGCAGGGAACCTAAGGGGAGGAAACCCCTGCCTGTCCCTGTTGGGATAGGCAGCCGGCTGACAACAACATAACTCCACCCGTGAGGTCAGGCAATGAAAGAGACATCATGCACAGCCCAAAATGACAGCTAAACTCCCGCACAGATTCCAGCAGTTTCACTGAGGCTTTAAATCACTAAAAGTTTCTGTCAGCAACTACATGCGATTTCTGCCGCGCACCCCTTGAGGAGCAGAAAGCCCCAGGCTACTGACTCATGGGAGGGAGCAGATGACAGTGCTATCTGGGGCAGGACTTGGCTTGGGGAGAGTGCCATCACAATTCCTTATTTTTCATTTCCAGCAAAGTTAGTGTGCGTGAAAGGTACTGGACTGACATCCCGGGAGACTAGCTGCTTTCTGTTTCATTATAATTAATCATCCAGGCATTACTTAATGTTTGCATAGTGCTTTGAAGTGCCAAAGAACAATATAGCAGGTAGATATTATTAATTCAAAGAAACAGGTAGACCCAAGCCAGGGGTAGCTTCGCCTGTGTGGCTTCCCACCAAAGTGACCACACCAACTCAGCTCACCAAGCAGACCCTGCCTTGGCTCCACCTTGTCCTCTGAGAGACCTGCGGGTACCTTGAACCCTTTGTGCGTCCCCCTCGTGCCCCAGGTACAGGAGCTTGGCCCACAGGGGAAGAAGAGGGCTGGGTGAAAAGGGAAGACGGTAGGGTAGAGCACAGGATACTGCTTTTTCCTCCTGAATTTGGACACCTCCCCAACCATCCTTGTGTGGAGCAGCATCTCTAATGGAGAGAGAAGCATCTTAGACTCCACCCAAACCAATTCTGGGATTTCCTACTGAGCTAAGCCAGACAGAAATAGGAGGAATGAGGCCCTTGTATTCCCCCCTCATCCCTGCTTTCAGCCCTCCAGCCTGGCTGCTCTCTAATCCCAGCTGACTGCTCCCTCATGTCCTGACAGTGCCCAGGCGTGTGTCATCTTCCTAGACATTTGATTTTACCAGTTTGCCTTTCTCCACCTTGGCTGGGGACTGCCATTCAGCTGCCAGAAGAACAGGGGCCCACTGCTCCCTGTCACTGGCGTCCTCCCCATGGGGGCACTGCGTGCGCTCCCTCCCCACAGGCAAGGCTGTAAATCCTAGAGATTAATTTTTCACTGCACGCATAGTGAACATTTCAGAGTGCTCACAAACCTCCCCAAGCACCATCAAGTCAAACAAGTGACAGTAACGATCAGTGGCAGAATGACAGGCCAGTTCATACCACTTGCACTTTTATAGGGGCACTTAAAAAGTCTCTGTTGTTCCCCTTTTACAGAACTGCGACTGCATTTACCCGGAAACTACACGCCTACCCAGATATATGGCCTTCTGGGAACCAGTGCTGGGTACCAAACTTCTGGTACTATCCTAACGCCAAGTGAATAGGGTATCAATCCCACTGAGGGCTGACACCATCAGAACAACAATAACAACAACCTGCATGCCATTCTGCTCTGATTGCCTCTTGCTGTGTCTCCACTCGTTCCTCTTCCTTCCCCTCTTTCCTGTACCCAGGGTGGTATTACAGCACTGCTCAGCATCACCCGCGCGGCAGCCTCCCCTCTGGGTGAAGCCCCCCAGAATCAGGTCCTA